TGAAAATGCCTTTATGAAGAGCAATTTGACTTACTCTTGGCTACTAAAATTAAGATGAAAATTTTTCTTAAGATTGCACAGCTCTGAAACTGTATTTCTGAACCCACTTCTACATAAGTGCTTTTTGTCTAAGGGAGATTTTTTTTTTTTCCTGGCTGCACTGAGGCTCAGAATCCAGTCCCCCCTAGCAGTTTTCTTCTCCTTCCATTCCTTCTTACAGGCTCTAAGGGAAAGTTCCACGGTATTTCCTTCCTTCTCTGCTCTTCGATTTTTCATGCCATGATTAATTGAAAAAAATCACCAAGAAATCATGAAAATCGTGTACAAAATTTGGTCCTGTGAAAGTGTTTGCCAATGACACTTGCCAATGACATGAATATTGGGGACTAATATTCAGTGCATCCACGTCCACTCAGTTCCTGCCGCACCAGCCTGCTCCCAAGCCCTCGAGAAAACAGTTGACTGAGGCGAACACAAGTCAGTCACGATGTCTGCCTCCAACCTCAGGCCAAACTCGTTTTTCACATCTTTCTTTGAAAGAATCGAAAACAGATCCTGGAGAGAATATCACGGCTGTTTTTTTCTTTTTTAACCACAGTTGTAGAATTTCTGGTAGGGACGTGGTGTCAGCTTAATTCTAAACCTCGCTTCAATTCCTCTTGGAAACTAAATAGAGAAACAGAGAATTTTTTGAGAGGTCACAAAACCTGTTTGGAGTGAAGCCAGGAGAGAGAAAACCTGCTCACTCCATTTGCACGTGAGAACTGCCAAGAACACCGAGGTCAGGAGAACCCCGCAGGGAGACGGGTGGGAAACCCTCCGGGAAGGACAAATGGTACCCAGGGCTTAGGGGTGGCGCATCTCAGAAGCCTCCAGGGAACTGTTCCCTCGGCAGCGGCACGTCGCACCCTCCCAGGGAGCTGCTGCAGGTAGGGGTTAGATCCAGGAGGTTAGAGGAAAGGATGAGCCGGAAGGCGTGGAAGCCTCCGAGGGCTTCCGGAGCTGGCACATTTCAGAAAGCGTCAACAAAACAGACACTGAAACACGTGGGGACCACCTGGGGAGGTGGAAGGCAGATCCTGTCTCCTGGCTGCAGTAACTGGTGAAGGAACACAGGGGAGTCCAGGGCTGGCTGGAGACGCCACCTTGAATCAGGAGAGGTTCAGACAGGCCCAGAAGTAGCAGCTACCCAACAGCAGCATGCTGAAAGGAGACGCTGCTCACGTCACACAGAGGAGGGAGCGCTCCTGAGTAAGGCAGGGGGGCCCTTACTCCTCCTCGTCTGCTGCTCCACCTCCAGCCTCTTACTGGTTCAGGACAATGCAACAACTTAAAAAAAAAAAAAAAAAAACTTAAAAGGAAGTGTATAGCAGTCATCCAAAAATACTGTAAGAATATATGTGGGAAAGAACAGCAAGACATTTCTACAGACACAGAGAAGTTTTCAGGGAAAATTGCCACAGAGCAGGCAACACTTATAAGCAAACAATCTATCATTAATTTGAAAAAATGCCATGAATCCCAAATATGAAAGTCAAGATTGGATAAATTCAGGGAAGAGAGGAACGAACAGACAACAGAAGATGATGGGAGAAATCAGGAAAGAAAGCAAGACAAAAAAGTTAGTAGTAACCTATAATGAAAAAGAATATATATATATGTGTGTGTGTGTGTGTGACTGAATCACCATGCTGTACACCAGAAACTAACACGACATTGTGATTCAACTCTACTTCAATTAGAGAAAAATTTATGGAAATAAAAAATACATCAGAAAGGGCACAAGGGAGATTTGGCAAAGGTGAAGGACATGGGGAAGAGAAACTGGGAAAATGAACAAAATCAAAGGAAAATAAAGAGCTAAAATTAGCAGCAAATCACAGCTAGAGAACTGAAGAGAAGCGAAGCATAGCCCACGCGCCTACGGGAGCTCCTGAGAAGAATCCCAGAGACAGCGACAGAATCAATATTTTAACACACACTTTAAAAAAAAATCAGGGCACACTGGGCAGCAGAGAGCTGACCCTGAACCATGAACAGTAGGTCACACTTGGGGAAATTGTTGTCTAAAGACACAGAGCAAGGCACATTGGGAATCCCTTAGAAACGAAGGGTGAATCCTTGCCTTTTGGGAAGCCAGGCATTAGGATGAACTTAATTTTCTTTTTTAACATTTTTGTTTTTGAGTTATAGTCATTTTACAATGTTGTGTCAAATTCCAGTGTAGAGCACAATTTTTCAGTTATACATGAACACACATATATTCATTGTCACATTTTTTTTGTTGTTGTGAGCCACCACAAGATCTTGTATATATTTCCCTGTGCTATGCAGTATGATCTTGTTCATCTATTCTACATATGCCTGTCAGTATCTACAAATTTTGAACTCCCAGTCTGTCCCTTCCCACCCTCCTCCCCCTTGGCAACCACAAGCTTGTATTCTATGTTTATGAGTCTGTTTCTGTTTTGTATTTATGTT